CCATGCGCTTCAAGAATTCCGAAATTTGCTCTAAAAGACCCAAAATAAGCTCACTTGCTGATTGTGTATTGCTGAGAAACCTGTCAAGTGGGTGGGCGTGAATATAATTCCTGTTTACCCTGCCTTGAGAGTTTAGGGTTTAGGGTTTAGGGGTTTAGGGTCTAGGGTTAAGGGTTTAGGGTTAGGGTTTTGGGTTTTGGGTCTAGGGTTGAGCATTTTGGGTACACTAAACCCTAAACCATAGGGTTGAGGGTTTTGGGTTAATGGTTTGGGGTAAGCGGTTAAGGGCGTTTCTTTTAACTGGGGTTTGGGGCTTGGAGCTTAGGGAGTTTCTTGTAATTCGGGTTTAAGGTAAAGGGAGCTTCTTACAGGCCAGCCTTGAAATGCTCTACCTTGTACTGAAATTACTGGATTTCTGTTAAGGAAGTCTTTAGATCACTATAAAAAGGAAACCCTGTGATCTACTAATCTACTATATTCCCGTGTTCTGGTATCTTAAGTTGAGTTCCTTAACAGCAACCTGAGTACTCCAGAATTTCTCTCCCAACTTTTCGACTGGCTCTACAACCGTTCAGGTGTAGGTTTGGGTCAGGTCTTAGTATATAAGGTTCCTTGGTCAATAGGCTACATGGAGTTTCGCAAGTACCGGACATCCTCATGCAATAACGCTTTCAGCGCGTAGGAGTTTTCTCGAGAATTGCGCAAGTGCGACCCTGTTGATGAGCCGTTCCCGCGCCCGATAGTGGCACAGCCTTGTGCTGGGAAGGGCTTTCGCAAGCTTCGCAGCATCGTTTTCCCAACGCAAATTTACGAAATGTGTGACTTAGCGTTTCAGTTGTGAGGCTTCATGTCTGGGATAGAAGTTCTGAACATCATCATTCACGTTGCATTCAAGCATGCTTGTGAGGGTTTTTATGCCTAGGTGTCGTGGTGGCGAAGGTACATGTCCAATATAAACATTCTTCAAAAAGTCAGGGAGGATCTCTGACACAAGCCCAACACCTGGAATCTGGAACTTCTTCAATCTTTGCCCCGGAGCTGAAGCTCAAGCTCCAAAATCCTGACACTGAAGCCTAGGACCCCCAGATGTACCTTCCGCCTTGATTAAAATACGCTGGGCGCTTGTAGGTCACCAGCGCTGTTGTGGAGGGGGACGATCTGAAAGATCAAGGGCAGAGGATTGGAACCCAAACTCCTTGGTGCTTGAGGGGAGTGAGGGAGTCGTGACTAGAAGCAATAAACTAGGGGTTTAGGGTTTAGGTTCTTGGGGGTTTAGGGGTTTTGAGGTTTAGGGTTCAGGGGTTTAGGGGTTTAGGGTTTAGGGTTGATACGTTTATAAGTCGAGATGACCGAGGGATAGTTATAAGTTATAAGGATCCCCCACGGCGCCTGAAGCAAGCGCACGAGCCAAGACCTGAGTAGGCATTTCTCAGGACAGGGGCCCCCCTTTCTGCTAGCCAAAGGACTTTGTATCTGGGTTGGCCCCTCAAATTGCATGGTAGACACCCCAGAGTATGGACAACTACACCGCATTACCTCTACAACCCTTCTTGCCTTCAGGTTTCGTGGATCCGTGTAAAGGTATAAGCTCTCTGTTGGTGCAGGGCGGTTCAAAGGATCAGGTCGCAGACTTTATTTGCAGCTCAGTAACTTCATGGGGTTACTATGTGCCCCGTAGTAGATACGTGTCCACAGCAGCAGCAGCAGCAGCAGCAGCAGCAGCAGCAGCAGCAGCAGCAAGGGTACCAGAACATTCATGAGCCCGTGAAGTATCCTTCCTTGTTGCCACCTCAATCTGTGAGCCCAGCATCTACCAATTTACAATTAAAGAAGCTTTTGATGTCTTACTTCAAGGCGTCGTCTTGAGGCTGTTCTTGTCCTGGTGCATTGGCTCCCAGTCTTCAGGACATAGCACGAACAATGGAACGTGCCGCATATTGTCAGCCTCTGGCTCAGGAGTTGTGATTAATTGCCATTCATTTGGTACTGCCCCCACTGTGTGAAAGTCGAATAATATTATGAATATAGTTACATATAGCACTTGATAAGACCCCTAATGCAGCCTATTACAGGGTGGGGGCAGTACCCAAACCGTTCATGACGAGCCTTCTCGCTTCAGCGTTGGCAGCGTTCGCACCTCTGGCAGCCGCGCAGCAGTCTGGTGGAACTGGCACCTACCCTGCAAAATACAACCTGATTGACCCTGATCCGTCATGCCGGCACGCCTCCACGGTGGCTAGGTCTCCACTTTGGCATCTTTTCAGGTGGTGGCCAGATGACAAAGATAAGTTTGTGTAGCTACTAGTAATGTTGTAGTCGCACTAGTCATTGTCATGACTGTCATGACCGTACTGAAGCAGTGGCTGGGGGCACAACTCTGATGTCATCAGTGACTGCTGCAGCTACCGCTGCTACCACTCAACCAGCCTACCAAGCGACCACGCTACAAGTCCAGCGCCGCAACCCCCAGACATGTGCTGCAACACAACGGCATTTACTAGCAGCAGCTGCCGCCGCCGCCGCCGCTGCTGCTGCTGCTGCTGCTGCTTTTGCTGCTGCTGGTGGTGGCGGTGGTGGTCATTGTGGTCGCGAATGTGGTCCTAGTGCTGGAGGTTGTGGCGGATCTGATGGTCATTGTATTTCTGATGATATTATGAGTGTGAGTAATAGTAACGAGTGCGAGTGCAAAGGGGTAGTACTCCAATGGCTGGTGCTAGCTGAAGTACAGGTAAGTACAACTGCTGCCTTTGCTATGATGAAGATGGTGACTGCGTTGATGAAAACCGGCAACCTTGATAGGTGACCAAGCAACTATCATGACCAATGTAACGGAACGTGACATAAGCAGCACTGGCGTTCGTGGTGATACTACAAGATCCCCATATACCCCATATTCTATCTGCTTAAGGGGGACTATAACCCCAATATATACCTTATTATAATATAGTAGTTTCCATTCTCTTTTCCATTATCCCTATATAACCCCTATGCTTCACAAGCCAAATGCACTGAAGCCGGCAAGGTCTGGACAGACAAAGGCCCACAGTGTCCAATCTATTCAGGCGCGGCAGACGTGGATGTGATGGCGGCACATCCAAATGTCATGGAGAGGACTTGCCACAAGAAGGGCATGGAGCATAGGACCTTCTACTTTGCCTCCATAGATAGGAGTTTAGACTGGCAAGATTATCTTCCTTTCTCCTACACATTATCCCGCCCAGACGAACTGCCACTTCACCTGGAACCCTTAACAACTCAGACCCTTCGACCCGACTTGGTGAGGACTTTGTACTTGATGCGTAACATGGCGCGGCTTTTCCCAGCTTTCTATGCAGCATCTGACTGGGGCTGGTCATCTGCAAGCTACAAGGCGCGAAGGGGGACCCCAAAACCCTTAAAAACCCATTAGAACGTAGGCTTCAAGACTCCAAGCTGCAGACGTTGTCAATTCTGTAGATGTTGCGCCTCCCCCCCCCCCCGAACTTTTGAGGCTTCTTTGAAAGGCTCCCAGAAAGTGCCCTTAGTGAAATAATGATGAGCCTGAAAATTGGGTTTGGGGGTTTAAGCTTCAGTAGGGGCTGAAGAAGGCGAGAGCCCCAACTGCCCACCGTACTGCCGAAGCAATTATAATCTCTGAGTTTCTTCATGTGCGATAGATGGATTTTTTACCAGCTTCTTTTTCAAGCGGTGATGTCCCTAATGTGGTGGACAAAAAGCTGCTCTGAACCTGAAGCTTCAAAATTTGGACCCTAAGCTGGATTGCTGCCCAGGAACTTAACTTCAAGTACTATAATAGGGAAGCCAAATTATTCACTTTGAACCTATGATATGGTAATTTAATTCAAGTTCCTTAACGGCAACCTAGCAAGTCTCGCATGCCCAAAGCCTACTTCTTATACCTTGCTTGAAACCTCTCTTACACACTGAACCTTAGACCTAACCTTCAACTCCGAACCCTTAGCACTGACCTGTACAATTCGAGACCGAGGACCTTACACGCTTAACCTCTAAACTCTCAACCCCTTCACCAAGGACAACTGCCACCAGTCACATGCACCGGAGAGGCCGTACTACTTCATGTCAGAAGCTGTCCAGGCCGGCGGGTTTAGGGTTTTGGGTATGAGGTGTTGTGTTATCATTCAAGGTATCAGGTTTTGGCTGAGGTGGACGAGTCTTGGGGTGAAATTTAGATGGAGGTTTCCCAGGGAGGGGTGCCGTCAAGGACTCTCCAAAGATATGGGGAGTGCGAAAGGATTCAAGGAGTCTCCCTGTAGGATGAGGTACTATAGAACTCCATGCTTCTTGTTCTCTACTAACAGCCCCAACCCTTTAGGATCTAAGGTTCCCCCACTGTCCACCAGTAAGAGGGTATAGCTTAGGAGGACCCCCCACCCTCTTATAGTGGTATAATAGGAATATAAGGGGACCCGGATATAATCTTTATTATCCCTTATAGTCACTATTGCAGGGTGGGGGGTCCTCCTAAGGTAATTCAGTCTGGGCGTTGGGAGTTTCTTACTGGCCCATTCATCAGCTGGCCGGAGAAGAGGAAGACACAAAAAGTGACAGTGTGAGGGTTTCCAACAGGGGTCATGGTGGGGGTTATGATATATGGAGGTCTATACTGGTGCCCCCCCCCTATCTTGAAAAGAACCATGTGTGCCGGCTACCTTTCCATATACGCTTGAACAACATTTATCTATTCCTAATGAGGGTTGGTTCATACACCGCGGCAGTGTTCATATTAACCACCCCTTATTCCACCCCTTATTCAGGGGCCGTAGAAGGACTTTGCAGGGAGCCTGACTATCCTAAACCCTAAACCCTACGGAAACCTGCAAGGCTGCAAGGCTGAATGCATATTCTGGAGCTGCGGCGTATTCAGGCTGCAGCAGAAGTCAGTGTGGATCTGCTTCATCGCACTTCACCTGTTGCGATTTCTGTTCTTACAACGTTTGGGGCCAGTGCGGCTTCAAGTATCGCACACGGGGGATTATTCAGCCTCTCTTCGTGAAAAACGCCTGGAACGATGTGGGCTCTGAGGGAATATGGGGTCAGAACACCGCCTTCATCTCTTCAGCAGCACACTGCGGCCAGAACTTCAACCCAGCATACGACCATCAAGGAATTGGATTCTACCCTGGTGGTGCCACCACAATGGTTGGCATCAAGGACTCGGGGTCATGCTTTCACAAGGGTCCCTCAGGACGGTGAATCCAGAACAGCCGTTTGGGGAAGGTACTTTTGGGGAACATGGAGGGTGGCCTGGACCATCTTAATTATGCATCCCACTTACCGCAGAAGCCCAAACAAGTACATACGAGAATTATTCAGTTATAACGCTTGATAAGGAGTGGGGGCCATAAAGATTTTTAATATTGTGGTTTCAGATTCCTTGTATGATCATGGGGGGTGCCTCCAATAGACCTCCCGCCCTTACGTCGAGTCTAGAGCCCTAAACCCTAAACCCTAAACCCTAATCCAAGCTCCAAGGATCCAGGACTTAGACCTTCCCCGAACCCCAAAGTACCCTCCATAGAGCCAAAGATAACTTCAAAAAATACCTACATTCAGCTCATTTTTATGGGTGTTTTGGGGGGCCCTACCTGAGTCGTAGCGTGGGGGCTGATACACAAACCCTAAGCCCTAAGCCCCTTAACCCCTTAACCCCTAAACCCCCTAGACCTTAATCCCTAAACCCGAAACTCTTAACACCCCTAAACTCCTAAACCCCCTAAACCCTAAGCCCTAAACCCCTAAACCCCTAAACCCCCTAAACCCCTAGACCCCTAAACCCTAAGCCTTGGCACCATGAAGGACACAGGAGATTGGGAGGATCATGTCTTTCCCCACGGCACCCACTTCGACTGGGACGATTCAAGCTTCACCTTCCTGGTGCAACTTGTTGCGGAAAGATCTGTGTTTGGGGTTTAGGATTTGGGATTTAGGGTTTAGCGTTTAGGGGTTTGGGGTTTAGGGTTTAGCGTTTAGGGTTTGGGGTTTAGGGTTTAGCGTTTAGGGTTTGGGGTTGAGGGTTTAGGGTCTAGCGTTTAGGGTTTAGGG